ATTCTCTCAGATTTGATTCCCTAAAAACTAAATTTTTGAAAATTTATCTGTTTGTATTTATCAATAAAATATTATGAAATTATTCTATTTTGTAGTTGCACAGTATGTGGACGTTATTAAGTCAAGGCAGAATTATGTTATCTATTTCAAATTCTAAGGATAATTTTTTGAGATGATGTTTGGGGCAACATAATCTAAAGTTTTAGCTATGTCTATATAAATGACAAATGTGGATAATTTTAATTCAAATTTAGATAAAATTACAGGCTAAATTTCAAAAAGATTACTAGTAGTAGAATGATGAATAATACCAGAATGTAGCTGTGCTAATACAAGATATAATAGGGTAATATATGGAACAATGTATACAAATTTCAAAGATCTTTAGCATAGCTGGGGCAAGAGAGAGAGAGGGCAAAGAGAAAAAGGATCTTTTTTGGCAATATAAAAATTACAGATAATGTCTATTGTGAAGGGATAAAGTAATTCTAAAGTATAGAGAGGGATAGATGAAGACAGATAGGAACAGTTACAGGCTATAGTTTTAAATTGTCAATGTTCTATAAAATATTAGATTTTGAATATTGCATTGATTTATTATATACTATAGAGAAACAAAATCTAATTGTTGCTAATGTACTTTAAACTGAGGTTGAGTTATCAATAATTATCAATTATCCTTGTAAAATAACATACAAAAATTAATTGATTTCCATAAAGATGAAGATGTATTCCGCACATATGACTATAAGAAAGTAGTGTTGTATGATGAATTAGTTTTTTTTTTAAACGTATACTATATAAAATTGAATGCATGAAATATGAACAGATATTTTAATAAATCTAAATTTATATTTTGAATATTGTAGTTTTCATAAAGCAGAAACTTCTATTAAATTTAAAAGATAATAAAAATTAATGATCATTTATTGAGTTTAAGTGAATTTATTAATCAAAATCAAATAAAATTCTATCTTAAATTCCTTATTACACAAAGCATTTAAATTTTTATATTTGAACTGTCATATACTATATTAACAAATTACCTAACAGTATAATTGAAATGCAAAACTTTAAATAATGAAATTTATATTTACCTGTTTCCATGTACATGAGAGGCACAAAATGCAAAACTGTAATGAATTAAAGTTGGATCGATCATGATACCTTTTTCTGCTCGATCTAATAGATCATTTAAATAACATAAATGACGATAACAACTTCGTACACCATATCGAGCAGTATATTCATCTAAAACAAACAATTGCCCTGGACTGTACCAACCCTATGAAACAAATAGTGTTTAATAACAATCAGAATGCATTTATATTAAATATTTTATCTACTTTATAAAAATTCACTTTTGATCATTAATTAAAAACATCAAATTTTAACAATGTTTTAGGATAGAAGCTTCAAACTTACAATATGTCACAATTCATATTATGATCTACATTGACAGTATGTCTTAACAACATTTTATATATATTTGTTTTAATACCTTAGTAATATAAATATTAATTTTTTAAGTATATAATTCTGTTTTAAAAAATGTTAAATAAGTAAGAAAATTAGTATTCAAAATAAATGTTTGACTAAATTATAATTACCAAGGAACAGAATATATCAGCTAATCTATATTCCAATGCTTGGGTTTGAAGTAATCTAAATAATGCATGATGATTAAAATTGCATGGGTCAGCAGAGATAAATTCATCCATTCCGTGTTTGCGAGCCCTGTCCGCATCTATTTTAAAAATAATTTATTGATTTTGTAAAATATTATTATTATTTAATTTATAAATAAAGTTCTTTAACAATCCTAATTAATACTTTATCAATCTGTTCAATCAATAAAATAGCTACAGAAACAAGCATTAGAAGTTAAAATTAGTAATTGTATATGAAAGATCAATGATTTTTTTAAGATTGGACTTCACAGTGGAAAAAATATCATTGGTGCACAAATAATTTATATCATTCAAGAAAGAATGATATAAAGCTTATCATTTGAAGAAGCCTTTACAATGATTAAAACTAAATCATTAAAAGATTAAATTTAAATAATAATTTAACAGTTAAAATACAGTGAAACCAAAATTCATTGTTTCTGTTGGGAAACCTGAAAACTCTAAATAAATGGAAAAACAATTGATGCAATAGACTATATAAAATGAAAAAAACATCTCTATGTATTTATAAAATCAAAAAACTGGTCTTCTTTTCAGCCTCTCAAGACTACATCTTACTGTCAGTGGCATCTGCAGACTATAAAAACAGAGGAAGCACAAGCTATAAAAAAGGACATCATACATTATGCAAAAAGCTTCAAACTGATTCAACATAGAATCAACACTCCTACAAGATGGCACTGATTGCAATCAGGGCTTACTTGGCCTTGAAAACAAGAAACACTCCTTGCTTTCAAAGCCAAGTTTTGGTAAGCATATGACAAAGTTGCATGAAACAATACACATATATCATTCATTAGTTTCTTTTATGTTTGCAGAATAGGCTTGAAGTAATTCATTTTCTGTTGTTTGTTCATAATAGAATTTGTGGCTCCCTTGGGATTAGCCCCTGATTGCTGTCACAAAGTTTTTTTCATTTATATAATGGCCATGGGTTTTTCTAGTTTTCCTTGATCACCTACTTCTTTTCAGAACTTAACTATACATCAATAGGCAACATTTGCTTTCATTAATTTTTCTGAAATCTTCCAATTCTATTAAACTATTTATGTGATAAACAGTCAATTTGTTCCTCTTGAAGTAACAGTGCTTTCTTCTAATTTCTATATGGTTCATACATATAACTTATACATTCAAGAGACTGCTCTTGAAGGGTTAATTATAAATTTTGTCTTTTATGTAGAATTAAAATTAAGGAAAATAATATTTAATATATATCTCAAACTTTGTTACTGTAAATTGACTCATCTATTAATTGAAGTTTTTGATATATATATTAAAAAATATACAGCCTATAAAAATTTGAATTTACATATTTACAATATCATTCAAATTTTAAAGTATTAGATTGTTGGTTATTTAGAACTCACCTCCTTGTAATCGAGAAATGGTTGAATTCTTACTAGCCAAAGGTTGAACAAGTGGAGTTGGTTTATGAGATTGTCCTGTTGCTCGATACATTGCCATGACCCAGAGGTGACACTCATTTTCATCTTCACTAGCAAACAACACACTGTCACCTTCCTTTACAGCATTAAAGAAGAAGCGTCCTCCCTCCAGATCTAAATTACAATTATGGTTTAATAAATAAATACTTTCAATTATTAGTAACTATAAATTACCTATTTTATGTTATGTAAGAGGTATTCAGGTCATGCAAAAAACATATGAAATTTATATTCATTTTTTTGTAAATGCTGGATAAGTTTTTTCTAGTTAAAAACTGTATTTCAAATCGTCCTTTTTTAATATATTTGTTTACAAGAAAGCTAATTGATACACCACAGACAATAGGTAGCCCATGGTTGGGCTATTATATGAACTAGTGACTAGAAAATGAACAGATACTTTTGACCTTTGTTCCAAAGTGAAATATTTTATTATATGAAGTAAATTGATAATATTTTATTTATATAGAGACCTAAGTTATATATTTTCAAAAGTTATATATCTTAGGAAATTTAGACTTATCTTTAAATTAATAAATGAAGCAAGAGTGCTGTAAGGAATAATCTATTGCTTTTAGCCCTTAATTTTGTTTTATTTCAAGTATATATCAATTACACTTGAAATTATATATTATATATACAATTACACTGTATATATATATATATATCAATTATATATATACAGACATATATATGTCTATTGAAATACTATCTTGATATAAGACTACAGTTAAAAAAGATACAGACATCTGTTGAATTGTGTGTTCTGTTTTATGTACAGTAGACCCCCTATAATTACGATTCCTATAAGATGGCGAAAAAATTGCGATGGTATCCGTACAAACCTGGTAAAAAACTCCTATAATTTGGTAAAACGTCATCAGGCAGCCGAACTACTTTCCACTGTCCAGCATCACGCTACGGAGAATTTAGGCGGGTAAATTGAGTTTACTATCGTCTGTACAGTATTATATATAAATTACATATAAATTAGGTACTGTAATATAATTATATATAAATTAGGTACTGTATATATAATTATATATTAACTTAATTTATTGTAACTTTATTATAATTATATATATATACTTTCCGCCATCCAGCGCCATGCTACGGAGAGTTTAGGCGAGTAAGTTGTTTACTATCGTCTGTACAGTATGTAAATTAGGTACCATAAGTCTAATACAGTACTGTAATTTTATACATTTCTTGTGAAAGAAACATTTCTTATTCAACGGCCATAAAAATTATTTATATTAATGTCTCCAAAGTTCAACAAAGTTTTCGCAGAAAAATAACTTATCAGAAATCGCGCCCGCCATTTGGTGCGCTGTTCTGCGACGAAAACAAGCTTAAGCAATGGCGACGTCGAACGGTGCACACTCGGTAAGTAATCCTACAATTTTTTGTTTATAGC